ACTTTTCCCCCCCTCCCTTTTTTTTTTTTTTTTGAAGCCGGCATTCTTTCCAGCCTAGTAAATGAGTCAAAGCAGACATTTGTCATGTTCGCTCCAGGAAGTTGGAGGAGCGCTGGGCTTTTGTTCAGAAACCTGCTGGCTAAGCAAAGCCTTTGACTTTCTATTATTATTTAAACAGGCACTGCTGATCTTTCACTCACTCTCTCTCTCTCTCTCTCACTCACTCACTCACTCACACACACACACACACACACACTCACTCACACATACACACACACTCACACATACACACACACACGCACGCACACATGCACACACGCCTCCAGGTTTTTGGGGGCAGGTTTATAAATAAAAGCTGATCGTGTCAACTATTCACTATTGCTTGGCTGGGGGTAGTGGTGGGGGGGGGAGGGGAGTGTGTGCGCCTGCATGTTTGAGCGGGGAGGTGTAGGTATGAAAAGAGGCCTCAGCCCTGGCAAAAAGAGATAAGGGGAAAGGATCAGAGAGGGAAAAGGGACCTGGTTTCTTTCACTCAGCTAAGCTGAGTTCCTAAATGAGGCCTGTCAACACTGCCCTGGTGCTAAAAGCCCTGGACCAGCTGCCCCTGCCAAATGCTCCCTGCCTGACTCATCAAGTTGCATCGTTAGCTTAAAACTAACCAGACAGCCTTGGGGAGGCGACAGGGACCCCAGTGCGGCCACGACATGGTGTGTGTCGTGGGTAGAGTGGATAGGTGTGTGTCGTGGGTAGAGTGGATAGGGATGAGCGGCAGGCAGCTGAGCTGACCTTATGACTTTTAGGTTTTGGGAGAGAGCAGTGCTTTACACCTCCCTGTCTGAAGCCGCCTCCCCCAGCACTTTGCTTGGTGGCTGCTAGAGGAAGGCACATTGTTCCACTAAAGCGGGGTGCCAGCTTAAGGAGAACAAAGGGAGAGGGAGTCAGCCCCACTCCAGCCCATTCCAAAACTGTATGCCTGCCATAAAGCCCTCTTGGGGCTGAGATCACAGCTGTCCCCCCACCCCAGGGAAAGAGATTGGGAGGGAGAAGTGTTGCTGCAGTGTGTTTTATTGCACCCCATGTCAGTGTGATCACAAGCTTGTAGGCCCTGAAGGGAGGAGAGGAAGGAGGTTGTAAAAGTGCTTTCACACAGCTCGCAGGTCCAACAGCACCCAGAGACCTTGACAGAAGCCCCAGGGTCTCTGACCAGATGTGTGAGACACTGGCATTCTCTGCAATAAAGTGTCATGTCCCCTGGAGTGGAGAGACAGAGGGAGTGAGATGTGTGCTGTAGCCCAGCTATCATGCTACATTGTGACTCATGGGCCCAATTCTGGTAGTGTCAGGGCTCAGCAGAGTGGGTACAGGGCTCAGCCTTTTAATTTTACCTCTGCTGCTGCTTCATAATGGCCTGCTAGTTGGATAGGGCCCTATAGAGCATGTGTTAGGCATCCTGTGGACTCCTCCAGCAAGGATGGAGCCATCGCAGTGTGCTCTGGAGTGATGGCTTCTCCCTTGGGCTGGGGGTGTTTGGGCTGTCAGGTGAGGAGGGGATTGCACTGCTTGGGAGTCCCTCGGGTGGGATTCCAGGCCTGGACCCCCCTAAAGGCCCAGCTGGCCCAAGGGGGAAAATGTTCACAGTCCAGGGTGTTGCAGAGAAGGGGGAATTCCGGTGGCTGCATTTGAGTCCCTTCCTGGAAGGTCCCAAGGCCTCACAGCAAGAATCACGTCATTTTGCACATAGCTTTGCTTCTCCCCCTATCCCCAGCTGAAATTGTACCAAGTGTTTTGCCCCCAGTATCTTGAGACCCAGGGAGTCTGGCCCTGCTGATCTTTGCCATATGGAAGCAACTGGGAATCACTCCAGGGTGGGGAGCAGTGCTTTTGGGTGTCAGCCTTCCTCAGGTGGGGGCTCCCCCCAGGAGAGGCACCTTTGTGCAACACCAGATCAGGACTTTTGGGGAGCTGGGTCCCGCTCCCACCTCTTTCACTGATTTCAGGCAAGTTGTTTTCCCCTCCTCCCCTTTGTATGTCTCTATTGGGAGCTCCCTAGGGCAGGGCCTGTGCTTCACTGTGTCTGTGAGAGCCTGCACTGCCTAGGAGGAGGAAGGAGTCGCCATTCCTCAGCCTTGTCCCTTGGATTTTAAAGGCTTCCCTGGAAAAAAACCCTGATCTGCTGTTCAGAGCTGGCATCACCTACTGCAGGGGGAACACAGTGTGGTCCCTGGGGGGATTCAGATATATAGGACAGGGAGCCAGTTGCAAACCGGTGGCTGGGACCCTCTGGCGTGAGCCTTTGCTGAGCTTATCTGCCTTGCCAAGGCTGCCAGCTTGGAGCACTTGACATTTAAAATCCATCTCTGCAGGGCAAGGAGCCTGCCATACCACCCAGCACTTCCAGGGATCACTCGCAATCATGCCTTGCACCAGGGGAGATCACCAGTGTTCTAGGGGTACGGCTAATTCCTGCCGGAGGGAGCAGGACTCAGATGCACACCACCCTGTCTGACTTGCAGTCATTAGTATGGCGTAGGCAGCAACGGTGCGTGGGAGGGCCGGAGGGCTACAGCACAGGCAGCAGTCAGGCAGGGATGTAACAAAGCAGCTGAGTGCCCAAGGCAGCGGGACACATGGGGGCAACGGTGACTTCTGGCTGCTGCTGTGCTGCCAGCATGATTGTGTGGCTCTGGCGGCAGCTGATATTTTTCTGTCCCCCTTCCCCACAAGTTCTGGCTGCCCCCTGTGCTCTAGATAGCATGGGCTTTCCCTAATGACACATTGCCAGGTCCACTCTGTGCAGCTGTAATAACTTCAGGGGAACTTCAGTGAAGCGCACCCCAGGGAAACAGATTTAAACATTCAAGCTCCCCTCCCACCCTGCCCCTGTTTCTAATGTCTGTAAGCTCTTTTGGGCAGAGCCCCTCTCCTAGTTCTGTTTGGACACTAAACAGCCCCTGTCATCATTGGGGCTCTGTCTGAGGCACTACTGTCATAGTAGTTACACAAGAGAGGAGGTTTTCAAGGTCCATGCAGTGTACCAGCATATGCAGCCCTGATCCTGTCTAGAAGTTACATCTGCTCTTGTACAGCCCAGTGAGAGACGAGGGGTGGGGGGGAAGTTCTTACATTGCTACTTGAAGCATATTCTCTGTGTATAATTATTTGTGGGCTGCCCAGGGAAACCAGTACCCAGTAAGATAGCAGGTGAAGTTACAGCATCCTCACAGCTCCACATCTCACCCTGAGTGGATGCCCTGAATCGGGACTAAGGGCTCATCTGCCATGGGGAACTTCTAGAAAACTTCATAGGAATTTTCCTAGGGGGTGAATTTAAAGTGGATTGGTAAAGCTGCACCCTCCCCAATGGATTAATGCCATTCTGGATTAAAAATGGCCTTGATGTAATTTAGTTTTGATTCTGCAGTAACCTAGAGAGAATGCAGCCCACCTTAATTCTGACCTGGCCTTGACAGTAGTTGGACATAACCAGCTTGAAAAGCTAGACAAGTTGTAAGAGGGCCTTTGTACAGTGCCCTGGAAGTGAAGCAAAGTTCCTTGCAGTCAGTTTGAGCATCTGTTTGGAGTATCATGCTCAGGGGTAGCTAGAGTATTGCAAATTCAGCCCTAGTTTACACCCCCTATGGACACTTATATGTCTGGTTGCCCAGATGCCCTGGCAGAAAGGCTGCATGCTATTTGTGCAGGCTTCTCCCTTATCCTGTAAAAAGGGATGGTACTTCTTGGAAAGTGCTCTTACCATCAGCCTGCATCATTGAAGCCTCTGGTCTGCCAAGGTGTGTGTGCCATGTGGGTTGGAGCTCAGGGCTCAGGGGAAGCTGCTCCAGTGCAGGAAACTCAGACCGTGTGTGTGGGATCACGGCCCATGTGTGCATGTGGGTGTGTACATGTGCAGATGTATGGGACAACCAAGGCGTGTACATGCAGGTGTGCAGGGCAGTCAGGATGTGCTCCTGTGGTTGTGCCCATGTGCGGGGACAGTCACGGTGTGTGTGTGCAGATCGGGTTCTGTGCAGATGTGTAGGGTGACCAGGGTGTTTGTGTGCACCTGCAGTGTGCAAGACAATGGGATTCTGTGCAGGTGTGTGGGGCAACTAGGGTGTGTGGATGCAGGCGAGTGCATGCAGATACGTGGTGCAATGTGTGCATGCTGGGTGCAGATGTGTGCACGACGTGTGTGCGTGCAGGTGTGCGAACCTGCAGCAGTGAGGGGTGATTGGGTTCTACACAGATAATATACAAGACGACCAGGGCGTGTGCACGCAGGCGCGTGTGAGCGCAGATGTGCGGGGGCGACGTGATCTCGTTCCATGCTGGGGGGGATGCTGCGTGCACACGCAGAGGTGCGGAGCGTGTGGTTCTCTGCAGGTGTGCGGGGGACCAGGTGGTGCGCGTGCAGATGTGCGGGGCCACCAGGGTGCGTGCCCACAAGCACGTGCTCGTACGGTGCGCAGGGGCGACCAGGACGTGCGCCCGCAGGCAAAGGCGCGCAGATGCGGGGGAGTGAGCAGGGCGTGTGCGGAGCAGTGGGGCTCTCTGCAGATGTGCGGGGCTGGCCGGGCGCGTGCACGCCCAGATGTGCGGGCCAGCAGGGGGCGCGGGTGCAGATGTGC